TCCCTAGCCGCAACACTGTCAGCACTAGCTTCTTCACCACCAATGTTAATATTGGTGATCTTGTTCCTCTTCTTAAACCTCTGCAACCACCCAGAGGAAGCATTAAAGGGTTTGGGCTCTGCAATTCCCATCTTACATGACACTGTAGCATACAGTTTACGTGCGCACTCCTTAACTGAGCGCGTGTCCATCGCCATGTTCCGTGACGCCTGACAAACCAAGTAGCTCACAAGTAATTTTTCCGTCTTGAGAAGCAGCTGGTTGTGGCAGTACTTGATCATAGAAGCACCTGTAGACTTTGTGATGTTCATGTGCTCCTTTATCTTGGCTGCATCCTTCTTAATTGTTCTTATAGTTGATTCGTTAACACCATGCTGGCGCGCGAGATCAACCTGTCTTGTTCCTTTCTCCAACTCTTGTATGATCTTGTACTTAATTTCGTAGTTTAAGGAACGTCGTATCTTCTTTGGCTTAGGACGGCTGGGTCCAGGTAATGCAAGGTTTCTTTGTGGTGGTGGTGGTGGTGGTGGTCCGGTGGAAGCCATTCTTATGGAACAATGGATACCGATATACACGGTGTAGCCGGGAGGGGTGTAACTGACGCGGGTAGGTCAAGAGGCTTGAACGCTCCTGCGGCGGGGCACGTCATAGTACATTAAACCAATCACAGCTAGCGGGGAGGGAGGTAAGGATGCTTGGCCCAATCACAGTCCGATACGTCATATGATGTCACCGATAACGCAACAAAGACATACACTGCGCAACCTACTCGCGCCGCCTACCCAATATGGCGGGATGGCGGGAGAGGTGGCGCCAGGTTTGGATCCAAAAATGGCGCGGCGCGAGAGGACCGCCAGCCGCTCTCCGCGTAAAAGGGTACACACACCGTGTAAATTGAGCATTCCGTGTTCGGCAGGGTACCGCATACAGTGGTCCCTCGGTTAACGAGCGCCTCGATTAACGAGATTTCGGTGAACGAGTTACCTCCCATAAGATTCTTAAATTCGGTTAACGAGCAACCCCTCGGTTAACGAGTTTCTTACTAGCCGACCTCAACAAGTTTTGACTTATACTGGGCGGTCAACCAGCTGTAGTTTTAGTCCGCCAATACTACATTAATCGGTTCTAGGGCTTAAATTCCTTACTATTTTAGTATATATCAAGAAGTTTATACTATTCAATAATTTTAAAAGTTTAATATTAAATTTTTTAGTCATTTTAACAATTATTGAACATAATTGAAGGTAAAGTGACTCGTTTAATGCGCGGCATCCAGCCTCTTAACGCAGCAAACAGGCGTTAGTCTTTTTCTGTTTTCACTGGAGGAACATCTTGCTTGACACTCTCTTCAACTAAACGCTTTTTTCTGTGTTTCCAAGCAAATTATTGGTCATTTTGAAATTTATTTTACATATTGACAATATATAGCGCAGAGCAGTGTTATTTTAAAGAAAATATTCTTTATTTACAACAAGTTTAACTTTGAAAAGTACGTGTTGACATTGTTTGAATCCAGCATGGGGCCTAAGAGATCAAGAAAAGCGATTTCAATCCAAACCAAGCAGGAAATCATAAAAAAACATGAACAAGGCATTAGAACAAATGCGCTATGCAAAGAATATGGCATGTCGACATCAACTGTGTCGACAATTCTTGCACAGAAAGACAAATTTAAAGAAGTGAAAGTGAGAGACAAATCTACAAGAGTGTTTAAAAGTCGGTCCCTAATTGCAGAAACTGAGAGGTTACTTATCATCTGGATTAGGGAAAAACAGATGAAAGGTGATTCAGTTTCTACTGAATTCATTTGTGAAAGAGCCAGGGAGATTTACGAACATTTAAAGACAGATCAACCTGGTTCTTCAGGCACAGAATTTGAAGATTTTCGGGCCAGCAATGGCCTTTTTGGGAGTAGTAGGAACACATGGCTCGAAAAGAGCCAAAGATATCATCTTCTCCGACAGGTACCAGAAATGCCCTTCAAATTTCGAAGTTGCTGCCTTGGTGATCTTTCTTTGCGGGTAGTCGCGGAGGCTTTGAAGCAATCTGAGATTATTGAAAGGAGCAGCTGCGGTTATCGGGGCCAAAATCCAGGCTTTCAAGTAAACGGTGACAGCAAACATGCTGACCTCTCAGAGACAAAGCTCCTCCTTAGTGGTGAGGTTTTTTAATGAGCCTCTGAACATACATGTCTTTAGACAATAGAGGACCTTCGATGCATTGCCCCCGGACGTTTGAGTGTGTGTTTTTTTATGCTTCCACCAAGATACAGAACGGACAGCTCAAAAAACTCCCTGCAATCATCTCTGAGGGTGTTGTTCCTCAACTGTTCACTAGCAAATGCCAGGATTTCTTCTCGGACACAATCGAGGAGAGGCCTCACTTCTTCGCACTCCATTCCTGTAGTGAATTGCAATTTGTCAATGAAGCTCCACTTGGATTGGAATTGCTTGAAAAGCTGGATGTCAGGCTCCGAAAATGGCCCATAGCAAGCATTGAAGATGCTTGTTAATACAATTTCTAACACGTGATATCGACACGCAAAGTGAAAAACTTTTTTTGCCAATTTCTGTTCCAGCAGGACACATACTCTAGATTGGTATCCGGTGTTCAACAAGTTCGTGTTGAAGCACATGTCAATCACTGAGTCGTCGATCCCTCAATCCACGAGAAGCTGGGAAATGGCCTTTGCTTGCTGTTCTCCTGTTCCAGCTGCAAGTTTTGGGACACCAAGAAGCTGAGATTCCCCATTGATGAAGGACACAATCACTGGAAGCCTGTCCACTTGCTTGGTGGAATTCAGGAGATCGGGGAGGAGCTTTCCATCCCAGTGAACGATGCAAGGAAGTCCAGGCTCAAAGTTAGACTTCATCTGATTCCCGAAGTTTTTTCAATGATGCATATGATGTCACTTGATAGAAGACCTGGTAATGTTTAACTCCAGAACATATGTGGCCATTGGGTCCGTCATTTTGGATCTATCTAAGGTGGCAGCAAGTCCTGGAGAGATGACATTCTGCACCCTCTTTGCTCTAGTTGATGGACTTTCCCCACCACAAGCTATCAGTTTTTCTCCAACAGATGTTTCTTCCTCTGTTGAGGTTGAAGAAGAGGAAAATGCCAGTTCCACCATTTCGGAGGAAGTTGAAGCATCCTCAAGTACCTTTCTTCTCCTTTCCTCCTCCACCATCTTGCCTTGTGCTGCTGTCTTTTCCTTCCTCTTTGTGACCAAGTCAACAGTACCCGTTGTTCCTCTTCTTCCTGGCTCAAGTTGTAGATTGAATTCCTCTTCCTTCTCCGTTTGAGTTTTGCTTTTTCGGTGTCTGCCGTACAGAAGTTAATCGTCTCAGGTTATCATCATCAGTACAGTAGTTATAAATCGAGCTTTTATATTTACAATAATTATATTTTTAATTAATTAAAAATAATAATAATGTGTTTAAGTAAGCAATAACATATTTTTAATTCTGCAGTTGAGTTAGGTAGAATTTAGCCTACCAGAGACAGCAACTGAAGGATTCATTAGCTTATGAGAGACCTCAAGTTCACATATAGGATGCAGGCTGATTTTTTAGCCATTTTTCAGACAAAAAAGTGCATCTTATATGCCATAAAATACAGTGACCCCCTATTTCCCATAAGTCTTTTGTCTTGCCAGTCACGGAGTTTTTCAGGAACCTAACCCCCATGATTGGCGAGGGACTACTGTACTGTATTTCGTTTACAAACCGGTAACTTTACTGCAACAATCTCTTTTAATCAAAGCTCTCCCATACAGGTACATATTTTTTGTTGAATATTTTCCAAGGTTATTTATATTTAATACCGGTGTTTCAAGTGAAAATAATATTTGTTTTGAAGAATAACACAAAATTTAGTGAAATAATGTTGTGTTGAACTCTGAGTTTGTCTTCTTATTTCCCAGTGGCACCAATGACTTAAAATTCATTATTTTACAAAATATGGGATCTGTCTGGACTATTCTCCTTGGATTAGTCAGTCACTTCATTTTTCTAAAGTTTCTTTGTGTGCTGTTTTTTCATACCCCAAGAGATATGCATAAATGCTTGCAGCAGGGCAGGGAGGGAACTGCATTATTTGGTATGATGTTTACTCATCTAATCACTTTTCCAGTACCTAGGTTGACTAACGCATCTTTTCTGTGGTTTAATTCAGATTCATAAGCTTTATTCATAACTGTAGATAAAAGTATATATGTTGGAATACAACATAGCTAGAGTAATTACCCTATGATGATAATACTATACTGTAGGTGCCATAATGCTATATAAAACTTGGAGTCAACAGGGAGGATGGTAGCTTCATTGTTTTGCGGTATCAATCACTTCTTCTTGTGTGTTTATTTTTGGAGGGGGGCGATTTAAATATTTATTAATTCTTTTACTACAGGTTGAAGCTCCCCTATCCAGCATTCTGACATAGCAACTCCCCCAAAGAGGCAGTTTTGGAAATTCCTTTGCCCAGCAAACTTCCCAAAGAATGGTGCGATTGGATGATAACTTGAGTGAAAAAAATTTCTACTCGGTAAACCTCCCATCAAGTGGCAGCTTTTCATAGTTTTGCCAGTTGGCCACTAATGTTTTGGTGGCATGCCATCTTTCCTGCTACACAGTTCATTTGTTCACATTCTCTGCTGAAGGTGGTGGTGTGCTCATTTAAATATTACAATTTTATTCTACCCTTACTGAAATGCACCATGGCTTCCAAACCTTAAAAAACATGGACTGGTGGAGATGAGTAAGAAGAAGCCATCTGTACTCTACAAATAGTGTTTTTATTTACAGTTACATTGTATCGGTAACCCATTACAAGTTCAGGTGCATAAGAAATACAACCTTCTAAATAACGGTAATTTTCCTTATCTGGCTCGGAACTGGCCCCACAGTTGCCAGATGTGGGACCTTCAATCTGTACAAAGAATGTGTGAAAATAAATATTACTAACTGAAATTAAATTTGTCATATCACTCTTTCTTGTAGGTAAATACACAACAGATTTATTCACCAAGGAGGCTGTGGATATTATCAACAATCACAACACATCTCAACCTTTGTTCCTGTACTTGGCTCACCTGGCTGTTCACTCTGGTAACCCTTATGCTCCACTGCAAGCACCTGAGAATGTGGTTAAAAAGTTCAACTACATAAAAGATGAACACAGACGCACCTTTGCAGGTGAGTGTTGAGCAAAAGTGAAGTGCTAGGTACGGTTGCTTAGTTAGTGTCACGTTTATTTTTATTTGACAATATTTTATAATTTATAGCCCCATATTCATACAGAAGGGTGCGTTGATGCAGAGTTCATATACCGGCTATGTAACAAGCTGGGTTTTTATTCTGTCATTAAGATTTGCAGGACACATCCAGTATTTGCTCCTCATAAGGATCTGATCTATATCCACTTTCTCTTTTCCCACTGTTAATCATTTTAAATGTAAATCTGACATTCCAGAACTGACCTGACATGACACCTCTACATTCAGACTACCATTATATGGTAAAATAGAAGTCCACATATCTGAAAGTAACCATTCCTAGGGCTTTTCACAATTGTCATTTTATGAATACAGTAAAGGGAGTAAACCCTCAAAAGTCTGGTCAACTTGAGGGGAAAGGAGGTCCGGACTAGCAGATTGTCCGGACTTTTACCAAATGGAGTACTGGGGGCCACTGTGCAAAGAAGCACCCATGTATTAGCTTCCGATGACCCTGAAATTTGTATTTTAATGTGCAATAAATATAATTTGTGTTTTCTTTTACATTTTTCCTTTATACAGTATATAGTACAGTAAGATCTTGTATTTTGAGAGTAATATAGACTAGAAAAATTGCACCAAATTAAAATTTGCCAAATGCAAATACATAAACTAATGGGAAAAATAACAATATAGACTGGCTACTCTACATCAACCTCTGATTTTCCCGTTTATAACCTACAAATGATACAAATTCTGCAGATAAAGATAAATCATTATTAAGCAATACATAAACACTTAAAAATACAGTAGCACTTACCAGTTAGCCCAAACTTGATGAGCTTGGGTGATGTTGGATATCCGAAACTGGGGATGGACAGGCTGGTTAGAGCCACCTCCCCGGCTCTCCTTTCCACCTGGCTCCCCTGGTTTAAATCCTAGGAAGACCTTGGTGGTAATATCTGGCAAATCCTGTGTTTCCTCCTCCACCTCTTCTCCAACATCGATGTTCTGGAGTGCATCACTAACGTGTCGGCGTCGTGTGAGGTACCGTGTGATTAGTGACCTGGCGTTTGTTTATCTTTCGCTGGTATCTTGGCATAAATGTGTTGGTGATGGCCTCTACTTTGCTCACCAGTGATTCACGCTCATTCTCGGACAACTCTTCAACCAGTACTTGGAGGTTCTAACAAGTGCTGAGTATCAAAGACAAATTGCTGGTTGTGATCCTGAGTTCCGGTTCCTCTTCCGCGTCGCCTTCACCTGCCTCGTCAGATGACTCATCAGCCACATCATCCAGCATTTCTTCATCATTCTCCTTAAGCATCTCGTTGATCTGTTCTGCATCCACCTCACGGAAACCTGGGGCTGGTACACTCCTTGCACTTTCTACCGCAGCTTCTAATAAATCCGCCTGACGCTGCACAGCCGACCTTGCGTTACTCAGGTGTGGGAAGAGGGGTTTCCAAGCATGTTTAATGGTTGCCAATGTGATTTTGTTCCCTGCAGCTACCATGTGGTCCACAGCATGTCGGATATGAAATTGCTTCCAGAATTGCTTGACAGAGAGCACATTCTGTTGAGTGATGTCACTACGGGAGTTGCTAGCAGGGTCTTGTTGCAAGGTGGGGGAGTTGCCAGAGGTGCCGACTGAAGCAGGGTCGTATTCCACATCGCTATCATTAGCGTTGTTGATTTCGTTCACTTCATCTTGAGGGTCTGTGGCTTTCCTCATTCTGTCATGAACTGCCTTATTGTAAAGCGACTTCACGTGGCAATTATTTCTTGATCAAGTGGTTGCAGTATGGAGGTTGTATCGGGGGGCAAGAACACCACCTGAACATTAGGTTGTCTGCCAACCAGATACCGGGCATGGCCAGGAGCACTGTCCATAAATAGAAACACTTTAAAATCTAAATTCAAGTTCCGGCAGTTCCGTCGTGAGTCAGGCACAAAACACTCATCAAACCACTAGTGGGAAATATTTTGCATCATGTAGCCCCTGTGATTTTGTTTCCAATACACATTCAAGTTATTTATGTCAAAATTGTGGTAGGAATGAAGCTTCTTTGATCGGTAGATAACTAAGGGTTTAATTTTATGCTGACCTGATGCATTTGTGGTTAGTAAAGCACTGAATCGGTCTTTAGCCATCTTTACCCCACGTGCCTGTTTGTCATCCTTTGATATAAAAGTAGCACGGGGAGATTGTTTCCAGTAGAAACCCATTTCATCACTATTATAAATTTGATCCAATGAGTATCTACCTTCTACAAGTTGCTTTGCTCCCTCCCTCCCTCCCTCCCTCCCTCCAACTCACAGTGTCTCACACATGACTTTAAACTCTGGATGATGTGTGTGTGATGTTGTGGTATTAATTAATGAATAATAACAAGCCTAAGGTTAAAAATGCTTTGAAAGCATTTGAGGTGGATGTCGTGTAGATGATTAGTGGGTCTCATATTTTTTACCTGACCTGTTGTTATGTCATCCATTTTTTATAAGCTCATCTTTTGTTTGCAGTGGAGTTGGTGTGTGGATTAGTGGATCCCATGTTATTGACCTGACCTGATGTTATGTAAGGTCACTCAATGTATATAAATCTCTCTCAGTCCCTGTAAATTCAGTTGCCTCTGAAGATGTCTTGAATCAAGACAAAAGCTAAGGTGCTCCACTGTTTCCCTATTCCTGTGTGGTTTTATCAAGTATATTACTGGGAACAGTTTCCTAAATACACCCTGCTAAAATGGGGGGTGCATCTTATATGGTGTTTTTTATATTATTTATCATTTTTATACATTTAGTACATTCACCATTAGCTGAAGTAGGTTTTACTGTATCATGTGTCTGAGGTGTCATTATAGGGGTGAGCTATTAACAGATTTAATCTTGATTTAGTGAACTAGCTCGCCAAATCGACAAAAAAAATAACAGAAGAAATGCCTTCCACTAAATTGAGAGTTTGTTATATCAGATTCTGTTAAATAGAGAGTATATTGTACTTAATCTTATGGGGAAATTTAGGGTATGTTCCACAGGTTCTAAAAGTCAACAGTAATGCTATAAAAGTTGTTGAAAAATCATTACACCTGGACCCCGACTTACGACGGGGTTAGGGACCCAAATCCAGGTCGTAAGTCCGACATGGTCGTAAGTCCGACATAGATAAAAAAAAAAAAAAAAAAAAATTAATAAAAAATCTACAATGAAATACAGTACAGTAAAAGTAATGAATAATGATGAATGGATACAGTACAGTGAAAGTAATAAATAATAAGGAATGGATACAGTGTGACTGAGCACTTAACCTTTAATGTAGTCAGCTGAATGCACATGGGGCCCCCATAATTTTCTAATTATACATGGAGACTACATTAACTGGAAACGTTTCGGTATAGAAATTGCGTGTGTCATTTAAATTTTTTTTTTTTTTTATATCTATATCTGAGGCGGTCGTAAGTCCACGTAGTCGTAAGTCCACGTAGTCGTAAGTCGGGGTCTAGGTGTACAATAAAGATAATGTATATAAAACCATAAACTAAGACATATGAAGAGCATGGGTGTTTGTGTGGAGTGGCTGACTCACCACTCCAGCAACGTTCCATGACGGCACATACAGAGCAGTAGACACACAAACACACACTGTACCACATTTCACAACCATTTCTGTAGCATTAATGCTAGAAATTTTTTTTATAAAAATCATTAAAATACTCTAATGTGGCTTTGAAATAAAGTTAATATAATATAATACTATAAATAAGAAAAAATAATGAACATGGGTGGGTGGAAAGTGAGGTTCATGTGTGTGTGTGTGTGTGTGTGGTGGCGGCAGTGGCCTCGATCCACCTCATAACTGAGGAGTCCTCCCTGCCTCCCTCAATGTGAAGTCACACACATCATTTATATAGAAGTTTGGTGTTAATAAATCAATTGTTTAACTTAAAAAATATTTATTAAGAGATACAGTAATAATTCGAGCTTATTAATACCAGTACTGTACCCTTCATACACAGGAGAATAATTACATTTATCTTATTATTTGGCTTGTCATTTAATTTTTATGCAAATTACTTATTAGATCTTGCATTTTTTATATAGTAGTATTTAATATTTTATATCAATGATAAAACATACACCATAAGTGGCTGATCATACAAGAATATATAATAACAAATGTTGGAGGGTGTGTGTTGGAGGGTGTGTGTTGGTGGTGTTGGAGGGTGTGGGTTGGTGGTGTTGGAGGGTGTGTGTTGGTGGTGTTGGAGGGTGTGGGTTGGTGGTGTTGGAGGGTGTAGGTTGGTGGTGTTGGAGGGTGTGTGTTGGTGGTGTTGGAGGCAGCAAAAATGGAGTGTGCTGGAGGGCGTGTGCTGGTGGCGTTGAGGGTGTGGGTTGGTGGTGTTCGGAGGGTGTGGGTTGGGATGTTGGAGGGTGGTGTTGGTGGTGCTGGAGGGGGTGTGACGGTGGTGTTGCAGGGTATGTGTTGGTGGTGTTGAGGGTGCATTGGTGGTGTTGAGGGGCGTAGGGTTGGTGGTGGAGGGCAAAAGTTGGTGGTGTTGGTGGTTTTGGGAGGGTGTGTGACTGCAGTGTTGCAGGGTATGTGTTGGTGGTGCTGGAGGGTGTGTATTGGTGGTGTTGGAGGGTGTTGGCTGGTGGTGGTGGAGGTGTTGGTGGTGTTGGAGGGTGTGTGTTGGTGGTTTTGGAGGGTGTAAGACGGTGGTGTTGCAGGGTATGTGTTGGTGGTGTTGAGGGCGTGTATTGGTGGTGTTGGAGGGTGTAGGTTGGTGGTGGTGGAGGGTGTGTGCCAGTGGTGTTGGTGGTTTTGGAGGGTGTGTGGACGGGTGGTGTTGCAGGGTATGTGTTGGTGGTGTTGGAGGGTGTATTGGTGGTGCTGGAGGGTGTTGGTTGGTGGTGGTGAGGGTGTGTGCTGGTGGTGTTGGAGGGTGTGGCTGGTGGTTTTGAGGTGTGACGGTGGTAAGC